CCAGTGTGTCCATGCTGGCTGGAGGCAAACCAGCTCTTAGTCCAGAAACCAGCCAGCCACAGCGGCATGAGCTGGAGCAAGTCCATCCTTCCTAACAGACTGGTCTCTTAACACAACTTTTCAGTCTGAGGCATCTTATGGTTTATTTAACACTGTGGCTCCAGCTTGGAGGTGGCTTATTGGGGAACGCCAACAAGAGCAGATGCCCAGTTGACTGCATCGCAACGCTCAGTCCTCCTTCAATTGTGCTCTTACCGCTATTAGCAGTCGATTTACCAACTCTCCTGCAACCCTTTGGTGACTCTTTGTAGTTCCCATGCTGCAGCAAAATGTCTATTATTTTACACAGAAACATAAGGGGGTGATGTAATGAGCTGCCCAAACAAGCGCAAGCAGTGGGCCAGGCTCAGGATGGAGCAGCAGAGCTCATACTGCTGTGTCCTATGCTCAAAGCATAAAATATTCACATTATCCAGCTATTATTCAAACCAACTGCCCCATTTCAGTCATGGGGCTGGGAGAGATGGAAACATGTATCCTACAACACACCCTCTCTTCTGCAGGCTGAGTGTGGTCTGATCTGCCAACCCAGATGGTTTCTATCTGTAGACATCTCACAGGACAGAACTGAGGGAAATCACAGAATCACATAGAATCACAGACTGGTGGGGGCTGGAAGGAACCTCTGGAGATCATCTCCTCCACCCCCCGCCAGAGCAGGGGCACCCAGAGCAGTGGCACAGGACGGTGTCCAGGTGGGGTTTGAATCTCTCCAGAGAAGGAGACTCCACCGCCTCTCTGGGCAGCCTCTGGCAGCGCTCCGCCACCCTCACAGCAGAGCAGTTTTTCCTCATGCTCAGACGGAATTTCCCGTGTTCCAGTTTGTGCCCGTCGCCCCCTGTCCTGTCACCGGGCACCACTGGAGAGAGTCTGACCCCGTCCTCTTACCACTCACCCCGTAGATATTGATAACCATTGTACATACGACTTTATCTCTGCTTTCTTTCCTGAAAGGGGGCTTAAACTACCTCCCATTTTCTTTGCACTCCATAGCCAGGACAGTCTCTCGTTTTGCGCTCTGGAAGCAGCAGACACAAGGATGCTGGAGCGCGTCCTTCCTGCCTAATGCCAGAGTGCTGCCTTTAGTGGTCAGCAATGGTTCCCCCATGAGAGACATCACAGTAGCTACTCTGCGCGGGAAGGAGGAAGGTGAACGATGTCTCACTAGACAGTAACTGGCATTACTGGAAGCTCTCCGCCTACAGAGACGAAGGCAGGAATCCGAGGAATTTCCAGAGAACTCAGCCAGGTACCCAGCCGTGCTGTGAGGGCATCACTACGGAGCCTTGGGCTGAAGCTCGTACTTCCTACATATGAAGCCACTGGGTTTCAGGTTCTGCTTTGAATTAATCTCTCTTCAAAAAAAAAATCTTTAAGAACGAGACTCAGAGCTAAACTGAGAGCTATGGACGATCCATGTTGCTTCTGAGCCTGCTACTTGAGTCTCCTGTTGCTGGAGCCTCCCAAGGATGCTTGTAAACATGTCAAATACCATAGCTGCTTTAAATGGAGAAACTGAGCAGAAATCCAACAGTGGTCATGTCTCCAGTGAGTCTGGCGCTTTGGGAACTTCATCTTAACAGGCCCGGTTGATGGAGCAGGAATTCATTTTCTCCTTGGAAGGGTTAAGTTCTTCGCTGTCAGGCTAATTATTCCGGGTAGGTCAGGCACAACCACCTCACCTGGCTGAAACTCCCAGACTGCCCAGCCAGGAGCCTCTTTGAAAAGTGTAACTTTTAACATCTCTTAGCAAAGCAAGCGCTCTGTTTGTCTTGGCAGGGAAGACCTGTGTATACACAGCTGGAGAGCTTGTTTTGTCTCTTAGTACAAGTCTGGACTAAGCCAAATCTCTAAAGGCTTTGTAAAAATGCTCTCTTTATTTAAAGAATTTTATACATTACAAGATGTCTCCAAAGCCTGCCCCTGCTCAGACCCCTTCTTTCGCTGCCTCTCTCCTCCCCCCTCCGCAACCACGCACACACAGTCAGGACAGTTGGATTTTTCAGTCCCTCCCGGCACTGCTGTATCCAGAAGTTTCTTTTCAGAAATTTCCAGCTTTCTTTTCAAACACAGCCAATGTCCGTATCGATTTATGAATCTCAATATTTCAGATCCCCGGGAGGTAGAAGAAAAGAAAGCAGCTCTACAGACGCAGTTCTGGAGCTCGGGTTTAGGCTTTTAGGGGAAGAAATGTCGCACGGCAGAGCCTTCAAAAGAGAAGGGCTGTTATCATGGTACCTTTCCGTAACTAAAGCAATATATAGCTGCGTGTGTGTGTGTGTGTGTGTGTGTTAGAAAAAGGCAGGGAGAGGGCTTAAAGACTATATAACTGCAGCCACCGGTATCTCTATTTGCAGGACAGTACAAAGAAGGAGGCTGAACAACGAAAGGTTGCTCCAGTAAGTGTGCGTGGAGGCTTCTAGAGAGCTTTCACAGAATTCACAGAATTCACAGAATTGTTAGGGTTGGAAGGGACCTCTGGAGACCATCTAGTCCAACCCTCCTGCCAGAGCAGGGTCACCTACAGCACGTTACACAGGACAGCGTCCAGGCGGGTTTCGGGGCTCGAGCCACAGCAGAGGCTTTTTATGGGGCACCTGCACCGTTGGGTTCAGTAGATACTTCTGCAACCCAGGGAACATCGCACTGCTATGTCGAGCTCTGCGTATTTCTGCTGGCCGCTCTTCAAGCAGGACTGACTGATGCCTGGGCTACCGGAAACCAACTGTTATTCCTATCTCACCCTCTAAATCATGTTGCCAAGAATCCCCAACTTGGAAAAAAAAACATCCAACCATGAAAGGCAAGAACAGTCCAATCCTTGGACATGGAGTTAAGCAGAATTAGCCCAATCTCAGGAAAGCGAGAAGCTAGAAAAGCAGAGTATTTCCAGAGTGCTTTGATCTTAATCCTGCGAGTTTGCACATTGGCTTCGTGTTTCAGTTTCATTTCTGCTCCGTGCCACGCTGACCCTCGCCAAAAATCATATCAGAGCAGTGTCGTGAGATGTCCATCTAAGCCAACAGGAAAGGGAGAAATTTCGTGTCTCAGCCAAAACCTCAGTCATACCCACACTGCCCAAATGTAAATCTGATCCGGCCGCTCAGCAATCGCTGGCTGGACGAAATACAGCAAAGCCACATGTCACTAAGAGCCATATTCTGAGCTGGTGAAAACTGCGGTTCTTCATGGAGCTGTTTCGATTCATACTGGGTGAGCAGCTGGCATCGAGCGGCGTGAGGTTTACAATAAACCAGAGTTGGTTTATGTTTCCCTTCAAAACGTTTTTACTAAAATAAGGTTCTTTCACAGAAAACCTTAAGTTCTGGTCATAATTTTCAAGGTTTTTCAAGTAAATATAGTACTAAACCATAAAAATCATTTTGCAAAGGTTGGAATATTGACTTTTGGGGTTTCAGGTCAATGTTCATTTGAAAATTATCGGCTGTTAGCGTTGATGCCATCATTAGGTTTAATTTTTGATGGTACGTAGCATTGACCTCCTTCACCCAAAAGGGCACACAGGATGGGTCAAATCCGGGAAATTAATCAGCTCGCTGCCGAAAGTTGAGTCTATATAGCGAGAGAGACGGGAGGCTGCAGAAATGGTCTTACTGATACAGGAGCCGAGTGCTCTCCTGGTGAACTGCCGTCTCCCCGTGTCTGACGGAGTTCCTGTGCGAGCTGGCCAAGTCCTTAAACCAGCGTTTTGCCTGTGGTCCCTAACTGCGTGTGGTCCCCCACTCCTCAGGCATCACTCCTCTGCGAGAGCCGCAGTGAGTCGTACTGGCGGTGCTGAGCAGGATCAGTGAACGCCGAGCGCCCTGCGAGTCCAGCTCGGGGGAACTCAAGATGGGCACCAAAATTAGTTGGCCGCATTGGGTCTGGCTGGGATGGAGTAATCTTTCTTCATCGTGGTGCCGTGTTTTGCTTTTGTGGCTAAACCAGTGTGGATAACGCACCAGTGTTTCGGCTCGTGCTGAACAGTGCTCGCACAGCGGTGAGGCTGGTTCTCCAGCTCCAGCCCGGGATTCTGGGGCTGGGCGAGAGTCTGGGAGGGGACACAGCGGGGACAAGTGACCCAAACTGACTGAAGGGATACTCTGTACCATACGACATCGTGCTCAGCAAGAAAACCTCAGGGAAAGAAAGAGGAAAGAGGGATATACGATGGTTACGGTGTTTGCCTTCCCAAGCCACCATTACGGGTGCTGAGGTCCTGTTTCCCAGGAACTGGCTGGACATCTGCCCGCTGGTGGGAAGTAGTGAATTAATTCCTTATTCTGCTCTGCTACCACACACAGCTTATGCTCTCCTTATTAAACTGTCATCATCCCCACCCATGAGTCTTTCTGACTTCCTTCTATCTTCTACCCATCCCGCGGGAGAGGGGAGTGAGAGAGACGTAGGACGGGTGTTTGGCTGCTGCCCGGGGTCAGTCCGTCACATTGGCACGCTTGAAAATTTTGGCTTAGTTTTCTTTTCCTTTCTCTCTCAGTGTTTAGGAAGGGACTGATGGTGTCACCTTCCCTTCATGAGGATGCTGTAGTAAGGGGTTTCCTGGCATTTTTAAGCCCATCTCAGGCTACCAAGACAAGAAACGGGGAAATGCCCAAGAGGAAAATACCCTTTTTGTGCTCAGCACGGGGGTTTATTAGTGTTTAACAAACAGCTACAAGGGGCCACGCGCGGAGAGGAGGATGCAGAGACACGGAGCCATGCAGTCAGCAGGCACTTCACACCCTGCACATGTAATAACCGGGGACCTCAGGGAGCGCTTTGGGCACAAGGTTGTCATTCCGGGCTACATCATCAGGCAGAGAAATCGAGCAGAAATTCACATAAAATTGAGTATCCTTAATACACATATATACACACAAATATACAAGTCCCGATCCGGTGCTCTGTCAGCGATAATATCACGAAAATGTGTTCCTTACCTCTCTCACACTGGGGACCCGTGAATCCATAGACACAAGCACAACGGTTTGGTCCGATGCACCGACCTCCGTTCTGACAGCCGTTTTCACAGACAGCTATTTGGAAATAGAAAGAGAAATCAGTGATTTCTGCTCTTAGTGAAACCACAGCGTGAAACGTGTGGTGCTGGCAGGACTTGGAATATCGCCTACTTTGTGTTGTTCACCCATCAAGAATCTCCTGCACGCAGTGAACACACAGAGAAAAGTCTGATATTTTTTCCTAGAAAATCACTTCCTGTTTATGAATGAAGCCATTTATAAAAAGGCTATAAACTCTTATTTCACTTGAGGGGATTTCCTGCACTCTGGAATCTCAGTTCATTCAAGTCAGCATTGGGATTTAAACGTCAAGGTCAAGATGAACTGATACAAATGAGAAACTGCATAAAGGCAAATGTTTAACGTACGACCACGGTGAAATGTGAGGAGAGGAGACTTGTTTGCCATTTAATCCCGTGTACCCGAAGCAAAGAAGAACCAGTCTGATCAGCACACAAGTATTCATTGACTTAAAATTTGACCTGCTACCCTTTGTTGAAAACCTGCATTTAATAGTTTAGGACTGGAGTCAAAGGAGCAGGTTGGTGATTAGGTCCTGGGTTGAGGCTAAGCTAATGGGACAGGATGTAGGAACATTTCTGTTCATTAATGACCTGGGTGAAGGGATAGAGTGTACCATCAGCAAGTTTGCTGATGACACAAAACTGGGAGGGGTGCCTGACACACCAGAAGGCTGTGCCACCACACAGCGAGACCTGGACAGGCTGGAGAGTTGGGCAGAGAGGAACCTCATGAAATTCAACAAGGGCAAGGGTAGGGTCCTGCACCGGGTGAGGAATAACCCCCTGCACCAGTACAGGTTGGGGGCTGACCTGCTGGAGAGCAGCTCTGTGGAAAGGGACCTGGGAGTCCTGGGGGACAACAGGATGCCCACGAGCCAGCAATGTGCCCCAGTGGCCAAGAAGGCCAACGGCATCCTGGGGTGCACCAAGACGAGTTTGGCCAGCAGGTCGAGGGAGGACATCCTCCCCCTCTACTCTGCCCTGGGGAGGCCACATCTGGAGCACTGTGTCCAGTTTGGGGCTCCCCAGGTCAAGAAGGACAGGGAACTGCTGGAGAGGGTCCAGCAAAGGGCTACTGATATGATGAGGGGACTGGAGCATCTTTCTGATGAGGAAAGGCTGAGGGACTCGGGGCTTTAGTCTGGAGGAGAGAGGAGTGAGGGGGGATCTTATCAATGCTGATAAATCCTTCAAGGGAGGGTGCCGGGGGGATGGGAACAGTCTGTTTCCAGTGGTGCCCAGTGACAGGACAAGAGGGAACGGGCACAAAGGTGACCATGGGCAGTTCCATCTCCACCTGAGGAGGGCCTTCTCTGCCGTGAGGGCGGCAGAGCAGTGGCACGGGCTGCCCAGAGAGGTGGGGGAGTCTCCCTCTCTGAAGCCATCCCAAACCCGCCTGGACGCCGTCCTGTGCCACTGCTGGAGGTGCCCCTGCTCTGGTGGGGGTGGGATGGGGGAGCTCCAGAGGGCCCTTCCCACCCTCACCAGTCTGGGATTCTGCGTGATTCTGCATGTGACGTGATCTATTGCTGGACGTGACATATGCCATTGACCTATTAAAACCTCAGCAGCTGTAATGACTAATGAGAGGAGTAGTGTTATGACACTTCCTAAAATTCCTAAACAGAGCTTCACCCTCTGAGCTTCCCAGTTGCCCAACACCACCAACGCATTGAAGGTGAGAAGAATATAACCTCATGAAAGGTGAGGTCCACAGCAACCTTGTGTGGCCCCCACTGGTCCGGTGCCAAGCTCTGAGCTGCGGAGAGGCCAGGTACTGCTGTATTTTACTGCCTTCAAAGGCTACACCCATCTTCGAGCCGAGGAAGCTGAAAGCTGTTCTGCTGGGATGCTGCCAGTGGGACTCTCCATTGTTCCCCACCCTGTCAGTGATGTCTTGCCAATATCTGAACCGTTATGAAAACTCTACTGAGGATATTATAGGTGGAGCTGGTAGCAGCACATAATTAAGGTTGCCTAGCGCGTTCCATTATAAGCCCCGGGTTGCTGTTACTTATAATTTTCCCAAGCTTTAGCTGTTCAGAATGAAATTTTCCATATGGCGTGTCTGCCTGTAGTTGAACTTTTTGGAAAGTTTCAGCAAAAATGAATCAGTCGTAGCTGAGGATAAGTTTAGGGGAAATATGGTGTTTCGCCCATCTTTAAAAAAAAATTCTCATAGACTTCACTGAGAAGGTTAGCGATTCTCACATTGATGCAGGGATCTGAAATTTGATCAGAGATTCTTTCAAAACTATTGTTCATACTTGCTTACTAGACATTTCTTAAAGATGGCACCTAAGTTGTTTGGTTGTTAATTCTACCATGTGCATAAGCAATGATTTAAAACTGCCAAATATCTTTCATGGGAAATTAGGAGGAGAAATTACATTTCTCCCTATGAAAGGTATAGGTGCTTTGACAAAATAGAAAACCAAGTCATAAAACATTACAAACTTTCTTTCAGTGACTACACTGAGAAAATTCCCTACAGAAAGCCAGTGGTGTCAAATAAACAGAACTGAAATTGAACGCCTCCCCAAAGTAACCTGCCATAAATTGTAATCAAAAAACATTGTTGGTTTGGGGTTTTTTTTTAAGTTTTTCTTCTTCTTTTAATTGGGAGAAGAGTTCATTTGAGCTAAAATGAAGGTTTTTACAAAAAAAACATACCCAGAGAATATGCTGTTTATCTAGAAGTATTTACTATATTATCTAAAACTATTTACTACTTAATATATCTAATTTTTTTTAACAGGAAAATTATATCTAATACACACAGCCATCCCTGGAGGTGTTTAAAAAAAGGGTCGACGTGGTACTTGGGTACATTGTTTAGAACTGGTTTTGCCAGGTTAGGTTAATGGTTGGACTTGATGACCTTAAAGGTCCCTTCCAACCTCAACAATTCCACGATTCTGTAACAGGGGAATTATATCAATCTCTATATATTCCCTAATGAGAGCAGGCTGAGCTGCCAATGGGGAGGAGAATACAGCAATGACATCAAAGAGCACGTCGGTGTGTGCAAGGTGACCTCCCTCGTCACGCGGCTGTGTGAATCGAGCCTTGCCCTTGAGCTCACCGTGTACTCAGCAGGTGTTGCAGGTACTTACGCTGCCCACAGTATGTTCCAGTATAGCCTTTCTGGCAGAGGCAGGACTCCTCGTTGCAGCTCCCCCCGTTCATGCATCTCACATTGCAGGTTTGGACTGCGGAGAAGAGCAGGGAAATATTACACGATGAGGCAACAAATTGTCTGTGACAGGAGGTGAACACCTCACACCTAATGGGTGTTCAAAATGATGTTCTTAATCTCTTCTCGTCTCAGTGCAGAATCTAAGGGTGATGTTAAGTGTTCGGTTCCCTCACGCTAAATGGAGAGACTGCTGACTTCCCATGGCAGGATATGAGCCCATGGCATGGTTGAAGGTTCAAACTTTAACTTCAAAGTACTGCATCCAGCTCTGAAGCCCCTAACATAAGAAGGACATGGACCTGTTGGAGCAGGTCCAGAGGAGGCCCCGGAGATGCTGGGAGGGCTGGAGCCCCTCTGCTGGGAGGAGAGGCTGGGAGAGTTGGGGGGCGTCAGCCTGGAGAAGAGAAGGCCAAAAAGGGGAGACCTCAGAGCCCCTTCCAGTGCCTAAAGGGGCTCCAGGAGAGCTGGGGAGGGACTCTGGATCAGGGAGGGGAGCGACAGGGTGAGGGGTGATGGTTCTAAACTGGAAGAGGGCAGATTTCGATGAGATGTGAGGAAGAAATTCTCTCCTGTGCGGGTGGTGAGCCCCTGGGGCAGGTTGCCCCGAGAAGCTGTGGCTGCCCCATCCCTGGAGGTGTTCAAGGCCAGGTTGGACGGGGCTTGGAGCAACCTGGGCTGGTGGGAGGTGTTCCTGCTCATGATCTTCAAGGTCCCTCCCAACTCTAATCATTCTATGATTCAACTTTTACTAAGGTATAATTAACCCAGAGTTGCTTACAAAAGTAAATACCATGGGCTGTTCTTTATTCCCTAGAGGCAGGACAATTTTATTGTTCCTGTACGTGGTAGTACTGAGCTGTTCAGCTCAGGGAAAGCCACGAACACGATGGGCAGGGTGAAACTAGGAGCAATGTAGGGGACGTGATCTTTCACTTCCATCTCACACAGGGCAAGGTGTCATTGTTCTCTTATGGCAAACAGGTTTTAGAGTAATATAAATAGACCTCATTCCACAGAAGCCAAAGGCACTCATTTCACCCCAATTAAACATCTGCAGCTTTGTCCTTTCCACAGGATGTCTTGCCATAGCCCATGTGACTGAAGGTAAGGACATATTTCCCGATATCTCCCTTTCTTGGATAACTAACAATAACATTCTAAACAAGTCTTTCTTTTAGGTTACTACAGTTTTCAAATATTTTCATACCCTCTATATTATTCCATTTTCAAAACATGCTTTTCATATTGTGTGCTGTCTAATCTTTAAAACCCCTTCATATTAGAAGCACGTTAAAAGACCTGTGAGATGTTTTGGGGATAGAATTTCTTTGGTGGAGGAAAACCATCAACTTTTAAGATATTTCTCTTCCTTTTACAATCACTATGGGGCCTTATTGGTGAGGTTCATTTAATAGGAGAGGGTTTTTTTTAATAAATCTGGAAAAAGACCCACACATCATCCCTTCTTCTTTCCACGTTAGAGCTCTGCTTTCACACTAGATTATGACACATTGAATGTGACTTATGCGCTGTAGGAAAACAAGAGCAATAAATAAGAGTCGGGAAGTTTAATACTGATGTGGACACAAAGGCAGTCTTGGTTTTAACTGTTTCATCGCTATTCAATTCTTAAGGAATGTGGTATTAAAGCAGAAGAGCCCAAAAGGGGAGGTTTAGCGCTGAACATTGAGTTACAAATACAGGTCAAGCGGCTTTCATTCTCTACCGAAACGCCTGGAACAATGCATTCTTCCTTTGTAAGATGTGACAACTCAAACTGCAAGTGCCTGAGGTTATAGCAAGTTATGCGAAAACTGTTTTTCAGCATGTACACCACAGTTCGTGCCTGCCAGGGAGAGGAGGGGCCGTGACTTGGCAGCTTGAAGGAGGAGGGGCTGGAGGGTGCGTATGTGAGCGGATGCTCAGCTGCGGCTTGTGTCTCCTCTGTGCATCCAACATCGGTTCCAAGCGGGGAAGAGTTGGGGCCAGTGCAAGTGAAATGTCTGTCCAAAAGGTAGTAGGACTCAGAAGTGTCCAAGAGGGATAATTATATGGTTGACGCCTTGTTCATAGGAAGCCTGAAAGGAAGGAGGAGTGGAATGGGAAGTCTCGGAGCTTTGCGTTCAAAATGCTCGGCACATGTGCTGTACATTTAATCCATGCATTGCTCGTGTGGTTTGAATTAGTCATGATGTCTACTATTCTTCCTATTGCTCTATGGCCAGAGATCAGGCCAAATTTAGATGAAAGCTTAATCATTAAGGAAACTAAGCTTGAGGCTTCAAAGCATTGCCCAGATTGTCAGACATGAGACCAGTCGCTCTGGGAAAAAGCACTGTTTCCAGCACATGCTTCCCCTACACCCCTCGCTACAATTAATCAGCCCTGGGAAAGCAATTACACACAGCAAACCTGGGAGGGCTGCCCAGAGACAGAGGTAGCTAGGAAGTGTCTGTCTGTCAGAGCTGTCCATCTGTCAGAGCTCTTCCCTACGCAGCACCCTGCGCCTCGCGTTCAGTGCATTCAGCGAGGGGTAAGGTTTAGGGAAGAGGAGGAATTTTGGGAGGTCAGAGTCTGGGGATAAGAAAGAGCCCCAGTGTTCATCCAGATACTTTCCAACTAATTGGCAAAGACTATTCCAGCATGGGGCAGGTCCCACTTCTTACTTCTGCCACGATCCCAAAGGCCCTGAGGTCCCATCACCATCTGACTTATCTCCAAGTTTGGCACCGTTAGAACCCCCTGTGGATCTGGAGTGCAGAAGAACATCTTTCACCCAAGAATTTAAAGGCCTGTTACTCTTTATCGGGACTTTCAGGGTAGTAGAGACCAAAGGTCTAGGGAAAAGAGAATGACAACTCACCCTCGTTAATTTTCCCATGATTGGATTGGATTGGATTAGTTCTACGATTTATTTTAAAGGATCAGCGGCTGCAGCTGTTCTGCCAGCCGTCAGCAGTGGAGTTTGCAGGCAGGTTTTCTGTCTGCTTACTGCCTACTACTATCTAAACAGTCACTTGCAAATTACTCCAAAAATATCTTTACTCCCCCAAGTAGGAAACCCAGCTTTTTGTTATGACAGAGAGAGGCAGAGTGGCTTTTATTGCCTCTGGAATGCGCAATTTGTCTGCTTTACCTCCCTGAAGCATTCATGATAAACGCAGATCCAAACATCCCCACAATGAATGCCAGATTTGATGAAGCCCCTGCAGAGAAACCTAGCCCCCACCCCCCCCAGCGCATGCTGAAATCCACCCCAGGCTCAGGGGAATGCCAGGTCTGTGCCCAAATGTATATACTGCTTACAGCATTCCTTGCATTCCTCCCTGATTGCTAACATATGGACCCTCACTCCAGAAACTTTTGTGTCTCCGGCACCTTCCTCCCAGGGCTGCGGAGCTGCGCGCACATAGGCTCTGGTGCTGAGCACTTGGTGGGGACATCTGCAGGGCCGCGGAACAACGTGGCGCTTTGGAATCGGATTCTGGGAATTTCCTTCTTCGAGTCACACCCTGAATGCGGTTTTGAGGTTTGGGGGGGCTGGTTCTCTGGCCTTCGGTCAGATGCCTGCAAGTCACTTTATTAACAATAGCTTCCCTACAGATGGGCAATAATGGAAAATAACTTTCTGGGTTGTCTCTAGCAATGGCCATCTGAGACCTTAAAAGACTCTATAAACTCCCATTAATTTCTGTATTTCACATAGGGCACTAGCAAAATCAGCTTTCTCAAAACAATACCGTGCCACAGCTCTGTCCCATTGCCTTTGCAGGGGTTTTTTTGTCCGGTGTGTTTGAGTAGTGTCATCACGTATAGGGTGGACTGCTTATACAGTCAGGTGGAAATGGTTACCCACTATCCTCGTCCACATTTGGAGATCTAGAAGGCAGGCCAGCCCCAGTCACGCAGCCTGCTCGCTTTAGAAACAACCAAAGCCCTTTTGGGCAAACCTGTGCTGACCCAGGTGGGTCTCTGTGCCGACTTACAGGCACGTGGTGGAAGGGCTCGCTGGACCTCTCCATCCAGCCTGCCCCCAGACCAGGCAGGTTATGACATTGTCTAGCCGAGTCTTCAAACCCCCCAAGGATGGCCATCCCCACCCCAGATCTGGTTACCTGTCCCACCATTACACCACCCTCCACTGTAAGAAAATTTTCTCCATGCCTGAAGATCCCAAGCGTGAACATCCCGAGCGGCAGCTTGTGGCCACGGACCTCTGTTACATGACTATTGACTCATATCCAGCCTGGTGTCTACCATAAATCCCAGTTCCTTTCCAGCAACACAACCCAGTGAAAAAAGAGGCACAGAGGAGCAATGATTCCCTTCCAGAGCGTACACAAGACCAGTAGTTATGGGGATTTAGACTCAAGCAAGAGGAGGGTTTTCTGTGCAGAGCCACGTGCCGCAGGGTGATGGAGCGGCTGCAAGCAGGATCTGGTCTTGAATACGTCCTGCAGGGATTATCAGAGAGACGTGGGAATTGCTTTCTGGATATGTGACTGTCATGCTGCTGAGTCCTCCACAGTCTGTTTTTCAGAAACCTCAGCCACCCAGTCCCTCTTCCCAAAGCTGTTCACATCTGTGTTCTGAAGGGCTGAGATGGGAGAACAAAGCAGAAAAAGCGGCAATGCAGTTTCTGCATTCCCAGCTCTGCCAGCGCCTAACTTCATCGTGTCACTGCAGTTTGCTAAAAATGCCGGCCAATTCTCCCCGACATCCAGATCACAGCCTAAGAAAAATGGAATAATTTTTCCAGTGGAAAAAAAAAAATATTTATTCGGTTAACAAACGCAGTGACAGATTTAATTCCACTTCAAAGAACAGGCAGGGGTGGGTGGCATCTTTAGCAGCAGCGTTGCTATTTGCTGCTGTGAGATGGAGTTTCTGAGCTGCATCCTGTAGGATTTCTCCCAGCAAAGTAGAAGAAATCGCTAACAGGTTGCCAGTATTCTCCAGGTATCAGGGGCGGTGAGGACCCTTAGTAAAAGCGCCACATGAAATGAAAGATTTTGTGAGTACTGCCCAATTCCCATTAGAACCTGGCTGCCAAAACACAAAATATTTCAGAGATTTCCTTTCATTGTGAGCGGGAAATTTTTAAGAGAGCACATAGCTACTCCAGAGGGAGGAGAATCACCAGCAATGTTCTCTTACCTCCAGCTGAGCCACAGTTTGGAGAAAGTTGTCCATTGGAGCACGTACACATGTTTGGCCGTGAACAAAATCCATCACCACAAGAATTCCTGCAAATTGCTGGAGGAAGAGAAGGACATGGCGATTAGCACAACGTGCTACTCTGTGAACTTGCTCGCAGATGTGTTTTCGGCTGCTGAAAGGGTGTGAATTCATCTCTTTTAAGAATAATAACCTGGGGGGGAAGCTGGGGCACCTCTTGAGGGCAGTGCAACAGTGGGAAGGACCCACTTGTTCACAGAGAGCTCCTGGAGACATCTTCGTTTTATCACAGGCTGGCTGGTCCTGCTACCACATCGCTTTTTCAGCGGCAGAGGACAGGGAAGGCACACTTCGCTACTTTTGCCTGCTAAAACTGTTTCTCAGCAGAGAGAAGCGACACTCTCCCCGAGCCAGGTTGTTCTTTTCCTTAAATCGTGCGTGTTTCCACAGAGCATTTGGCAGTCCGTGGTCTGGCATTGAGGGAACTGCCTCTAACTGAGACGCATCTCCTGATGAACGAGGGGCCGAGCCTGAGTCAGCCAGAGATGCATCAGCAGGATGCCTTCATCTCAATCTCCATCCTTTCTTGCCTGGGACCCCTGCTAATCTCTTCCCCTTCCTGTGCCATGGGAGCCAAGCGCATAGCTGGCAGTATAGTTCCACCTGTGTAAGCACAGATTTTATGAGAGCCCCACGAAAGTATCTCATCTCTGTGTGTTTTATAAACACAATTACAACACACGGTCCCCCGAGGACCTCCAGCCCAGATGGCATGTTTTACAGTTATGAGAAAAGTCAGCAGACAACCCCGAATGTCGCTAACCCCGCATGCCACTGAGCAGCTCTTTGGCTGTGAGTTCCTTAACCCTTCGCTGCAGCCAGCATTAAACTCGCGCTTTGTACCCTTCGTGGGGCACCCGCTGTCCGCGGGACGGCGAGGAGGATTTTGTGAATTCGTCTGTCTCTTCTCGTGGGGAAAGGAGAAGGCACGGAACTCCATGTCTTCCCATCACCTTGAGTCATCACCACCTCTTGACTGCCCTTCTCAGCGAGTAAAACGCCACTCTCTGGCACTGGTTACTCATTGTGTGCAAGGACAGAGCAACCGCCCCGTCGCTCGTAATACAATAGACACCGTTTCCTTTGAGGGGAGAATACTGAGCTCTGGGCTCAGTTTTTTACATTGGAGGTCCCAGGCAGCTCTATTTTAGGAAACATGAGGCGTTTCTCTCTAAGATGACTGAGGTTTTGACTCTGAAGGTGGAATTACTTCTGAAATGTGACCTGTATTATGCGGGAGATCCCACCAGAGGAACCTATTGTTTTCTTCAATTTGAAACCTCCCAGCGTCAATTCATTTTAGGCAGTTTTGGAAAAGGGCATTCACATACAATTCCAAGTGTGCTCTAACGCAGAAGATTTATTCAGAAAGCTAAAACCCTGGGAGATCGAAGCATCCCACAGTGCTGTCTGCTATTCTGTATGTCCAGGTTATGGTTAGTATCTCCAGGACACCGCGTGTTTACTGTGTTTCAGTATGAAGCATGACCAAATGCAGGTACAATTACCCCTATTGTCTCGAGCGAGAATCTCATTTATTTACTCCTGAATTGACTTTCACTCCCAGTAGGAGCACCCTCCAAAGGGCAAGCTCCCTCATCTCCCTATAGCTCATGCCTTTAACCTACAGAAATGCAAAACGTCAGCCCCTTAATGGATTTTATATGCGCATATCGGCACTTGAGAGTCCAATAATGCTCTGCTCCAAATAGGAAAGCCACCAGCCACAACAGAGGTGGGGTTTATCTAAATCAGCATCCCGCTTTGGATGGTCACTCAAATAAAGATGCAAATTCCTGCTTGTGGACACTGTCTCATGACATCATGTTTGCAACATCAGCATCTAGCTGTCGTTCTAGCAACTAACTAAACTATTTCACCTAAACAAGCAGCTCTAAAATAACTTTTTCAGGAGTCACCAATAGCTTTCCTTTGAGGCGAATCTTCTAACGCAGGTGCACAAACCGTCAAGCAACAAGGAACACAGTGGCAATTTGGCGGAAGATAAAAGGCCATGCACGAAACGGGACCAATTGCAACCACCCTGCTTTAATCAAGACTAGCGAACTGGAGAACTCCCAGCAAGCGCTGCTCCTGCCCCCAGCGGATTATGAAACGTTCTGTCATCTGCTGAAGTGTGAGATACGCATTCCTTCCCACATGGCAATTAGTTCCCTCGGTGCTCTTAACAGGAAAATGGATACTCACGGACAATGCACTGGTTCCCTCCGGGCAGCGTTTTCCAGCCGGGGCAGCAGTAGGAGTGGAACCTCGAGCCACAGACATTGGGTCTGAAAATTAAAAACAATTTTTTTCCCTCTGTTTCTGTGCGGTGCTATTGGATAAATTCAACATGCATCAACGCTGTAGGAGAGCAGCTGAATAGCTTCTTGTGTCACATTTCTCTGCCGAACTCCATTCCCTCCCCGTGAGCTTGAACCATCCATGTTTAATTCCCACCAAAAGGAGCCACCATATGTTACTTTAATAACTGACTTCTGACCTCCCTGTGCAGAATGCTTTGGGGCTCTGATCTTACAGTGTCCCTCTTAGGGCTATAGGGAGGAGTGAGAAACCAAGTCACAGCCAGGTTTACCCTGACACGAAGCCACGGCATGGGACCATAGCCACAAGGTTAGACACAGTCAGTTGAAGACCTGCATTCCTATGTGGGATGAGAGAGACCTAGACACCAGACAACCCTGAGACCACAGGCAAGTGAACATCTTGATAACCTGAACAGGAGGAGGACATCTGTCCCTTGGGAACATAGCTTAGCAGTGCTGTTTATGTGTAAGGTGGACAAAGTCATAGAAACACGGAATGGTTTGGGTTGGAAGGGACCTTGATGCTCATCCAGTGCCGCCCCCCTGCCCTGGGCAGGGACACCTCCCCCCAGCCCAGGTTGCTCCAAGCCCCGTCCAACCTGGCCTTGAACACCTCCAGGGATGGGGCAGCCACAGCTTCTCGGGGCAACCTGCCCCAGGGGCTCACCACCCTCACAGTCAAGAAGTTCTTCCTGATATCTCATCTCAATCTCCCCTCTTCCAGTTTGAAGCCATTCCCCCTCCTCCTATCACTACATGCCCTTGTAAAAAGTCCTTCCCCAGCTCTCCTGTAGCCCCTTTAGGTTTGGAAAGCCGCTATAAGGTCTCCCCAGAGCCTTCTCTTCTCCAGGCTGAGTCCTGCTCTTCCTTTCTCTACAGTTAAACTCCTGCGCACCCCAAATTGTTCATCAGACAGGTTGCCCATGGTTTTGTCTTCATTTGTTTGTTGGATGGTTTAATCAATGTCATGTAGCACAGATGGCAGGAAACTCAGCCTGAGCACATACCTCAGCACAGCATTTGCACCACGTTGTGCCATGCCACACATCCATACACGAACGAACAGACTTCTCCCCAAAAACTCCCAAAAGAAAACACGAAACCCACAAACCTATGTAATGTTCACACTCTTGTGATGTTGTCAAGTGGGAGTCATGAGAACACAGCCCCTTGCAGAGATGCTGGGGCTCTAACATAGGATCAGAGAGATAGGGAAGACAGTAGAGAGCTAAGTGTGGACGGAGAGTTTGCCCGGACCCTGGCCTCCAACCTCTTCTTGGAGGTCTGCTGAGGGATCACGTCTTTTAGGAAAGCATGAGAATTTGAACTAAAACCTCCAGTGAAAGAGCATACATTTTGGAGGTTTTCTAATGAGTAACAATCCTCACTGTTAAAACTCCATGCCTCCTTTTGGGGCCTGAGTCTATGTAGCTTCTACTTTCAGCCATTGGATCTGGTTATTTCTGTGCTGGCTGGATCAAAGAACCATTTGTTAACAAAGTCTCTTCCCCCAGTAGACCTGTGTAGGTTGTTACATCACCCTTTAATTTTCTCTGTGATAAGAAAAGGAAAATATCAGATTAGTTGTCAGGATCTATTGTTCAAAATTTCTGTATCCTCATTCTAATTTTTACTAATTAAGTTTTTCATCAACCACTTCAGCAGATTGCCTGGGGCTGGTGATAGTAACAATCTTCCTTACTGCAGGACTTGTCCTGCTTGTCCTTCCTCAGGTCCTGAGGTCTCTGTTATAATAGGTGTGCCATTAGTCTGCTTTCTTGAACTTGTCTGTCTTTTTCCCCTGGAAATTTTGCCTGAGTGGCGGGGATTGTTTCTGAAGATTTTTTTCCTCTGGTTGCCATTCTCAGGTTCCTGCAGCAAGCCAGGGGTGGGAAAGCGGAGGATGCTGGGATGGCTGCGCACCTCAGGCACAACAACCAGTCTCAGTGGCACTCTGTGGGACCCATCTACCAGATTCCAGCCTGGATTTTGGCAAGAACTTGTCACTACAGGGCCAGCAGATTCCTTTTCTGGCTGGGAGAGGCTAGTGGATCCCAGAACACCCTGCATCCGTTACCCAGGTATACGTGAGTCTTCCACCTTCGGCACGATTGCAGTAGACGCACAGGAGATACACAGAAGACATGCAGCAAAGCTGAAGCACATGTACACCATGTGTGCAGAAAACACACAGCAAACACGAAGCAGATACGCGGCAGAGATACAGGGGATGCACAGCAGATGTGTACGTACAGCAGTCCCAGTGAAGATGTGCAGAGCGCATCCAGCAAACACGGGGCAGAGGCACAGCAGACACAAACCAGGGATGCAGAAGTGCAGCAGCTACACTGGAACTTTCCAAAGTGGAAGCAGGAGAATGTTTTCCCATGGGAAAAGGAACTGGGCAGTGTTTGCATTAATGACAAAACCACCGAGCAGGACTGAGAGCAAACTTTAAGGAACCGTCTGCTAAGCAATGATGTTCCCACGTAAAAGCAATCTGAGCTTCTACTCTTCATGGTGACTAGAAGATCCCCGAGCAGCACACACCATCTTGGATGACTTTCTGCGCAATGAAGGGTGCTGCTCTGCTTCCCAGTTCTAATTTTCCCAGAGCACACAATGACCCACGTAGAAACCGTGGCAACTGTTTTTCCACGACCTGCATTTGCCCAGTGGAGCCTCCTTCACCAGCCCTGCAAACAGAGAATCCAGGGCTCTGCTAAAATAACGTGGTGCTATGGTTGGAGGTGGAGAGTAAATCTGTATTTTGATTTCTAGAGAGCCTACATTTTCCACAAGGCTGGGCATCTGTTGCTTCTCCTGGGCTTAGAAGTTAAAAGGAGACATCAAATGCAGAGCTGTTTCTGCTGGTATGGATTAAGGTTCCCTGCAGATGGGGCAACATCTTGGGTTGCCATTCCTGGTTGCATTAGGTTGGATAAAATACAAAGCCAGCAAGTACTGCCACTGATGTTCAAGCGTAAATCTCCAGTTAGAAGTAGGCATATGTCTGTGGTTGGCATTAACTGGGAAGATAAGTTCACGCTGAGCAGATGGAGGTCCTGTAAAGCCTAAGATTCAGCCCTCAGGTTCCCAGCATGCAGGATGGATGGGCGGATGATGCAGGACTCTCCATGCAACGCGTAGGCAGCCCAGACAACTCATAGCCAGGCACCAAACATTGCAGTTTGACTTGCCCCTGAATCTATCTGCTGGTGTCCCCCCGCCCCGTGTCAACACAGGGATGTGAACAGCTATACAAGGAAGGTTGCCATAGTACACCCTGGCCTCGGGCTATTTCAAGCCTTGATGAAGACTAAAGAATAATATATAGCCATTTTATCAGGCAAAAGACTAAGAGGGTTTTTGTCAAAAACGGTGAAGGCAGAGGTATCTGGCATCAAACCCATAGACTAAGACAGAAGAAAGGGGAAGTCGAATGAAATTGATAATGAAGTGGGTATTTTTAACTATGGCGGCAAGTACCACCTCTGCCCAAAAGACAGTCAGCCAAGACTCTTCATCCAGCTCTGTGCAAGGATCCTGAGAGAGGTCCTGGGCACTCTGTTACACAGTAGGCTTAACTGCAAGATCACAATTGTTCCTCCAAAACTGAACTTTTATAAGCATATGCTAAAAATTAGCAGAGTTTCAAAACAAAACATGGGGGCGGATCCATTTTGAATGGGTTGAAATTAATGGTGTCACAGAAATGACCTAGAGGGAGAATGAAATTAGATTCCAAAGCAAGAACTCAATAAGGAGAATGCTGTTTTGTAAGAAAAAAAAAAAAAAACACCATCTTCAGCAAAGTTGTAACAATTCAGCTTTTTAAAATTAATAGCAGTTATCTCCATCCTGGGAAATACAAGCTGGAAACCCGTGTTCTCATCAGCAAGAAGGTGTGGATAAAAGGCACGACATTTAGTTGTTAAACAGAAAACTACAACCATCGTTTGTGGTGAAGTGCTAAGAATGGAAAGGTCAAGGTTAGAGGAAAAAATGTTCAATTCAATAAGTTACCCACAACCTTCCGATTATTAGTGATAATCAAAATCCACAGACATCTCAGAACTACCAAGAAACTTCAAAAGAATCGGTCCTCAATTAAAAATCAAGAGGTTTTTTCACCCTACTCACTCTCAGCTCTGCCTCTCTGCTAGCCAGCAGTAGCAAAGGGGTCTTATCCAGACATGATCCAGTCCTGGAGAGACATCGTTGTACTGCTGAGGTGGCGCTAATGCCTGCGTGAACTTTTCCTTTGGGTGTTAGAGCCACGGAGATAAGAGCTGACATGTTTGTGCCAGTCCTTTCTAGCAATGCCTTCTGGCAAAGGATGGCATTGCTGGTCCACCCCCCTGGTTCAGCTAATGCAAAAAATAGACCTGTCTATATAAGGCAGAACTTCCTTATCACCTTCTGTGCAGCTTAGGAAAGGGCTGGAAGAGCTCAGCTGCTAAAGAGAACTATTTTCATGAAAGTGAGCAGGGCCAAAAGAGGGATGCTAAGAAAGGGAAGAGGGAAAAGCGATGCTGGCCGTAGTGTCTTCTTTGTCCATGTTAAATAAACAATAGGATTATGAAGATAAGCAGGGACAAAGTAAGCCTGAATTTCAATTGATGGCACCAAATGCTGCCTGCTGGCAGCGGCTCCGCCTGAGAACTGGGAGATGCCAAGAAAAAAAAACCAAACCACTGGAGCAGAGCAGAGCTGGGGCTATTGGATGTGAAAATGCGTGCCTGTTAGCGAGAGAAGCCTTTTCTCCCCAATCCACAATGGAGGCATGAGCGAGGACTGGGAGACAGTCCATACCACAAGACTGCCCGCAGGCTCGGGGTGCCAGCCCGCCTGTGGGGACAGAACACAAGCGGCATCTGGCTGTTGCTGCAGCAGCCTGTTCCTGTTAGCAGCCTGGGAAAGACAGCCCGGAGCACTGAATTGTTGCCTACTAGGCTGAGCAA